CTCTCTAGTAGATGTGACCACGATTACCATTCTTGTCATGGCAACTGATTTTGCCCATCGCTCCAGGCCCTCATGTGGAGCATTGTCATTGAAGCTCATAAGTTCGAGACCTTCTTTTTGGTGATACCTTCCTTCAACTTCATAAAGTCCTCGAACGTCTTATCAGGAACTTTTTTTGTCCTACATAGAGTAATTATCAAGTTAAGAAAAAGAAGGTTACCTCGGTTCCTCTTCACTTGGTTGTGAATTTACTCTAAAATTATCTCACTGACATCAATCGTGCACCCGTAGATGATCAAGTGTACATCAATTGCCTCACTAATACTGTCTTATTATGGGAAGTAGGCATCAACTTACCTTTCAAAAAATGATTCCACAGCTTTGTAACTCATTTAAGGGCTTGGCGATCCACATGCTTACGGGTTGGCGCATTCCCTTCAAACTAGGCCCAGCCGACACACAAGTCTTCTAGCACACCATAATATGTTTCTTGATTTACCTCGACAAGGAATTTTTTATATTGATCATCCACCTTACAGAGTTTGAAGTAGCATCTTAGTACTGAGGGGAAGACCCGGATGGATTTCATTCTCACATAAGCAGTATGTTGGGATAGGTCATCTAAGTGAGCGTAAAACGCTCAGACCATTTCCGACGCCACTTCCTTTGGATGCTGGACAAATTTCTCCCATTTATGCTTCCGTACTATGTCCATTACCTCTGGTCTGAAGGGTTATTCACCAGCCTCTGGGAAGACAAAGTCGTTCTCCAAATATACTTGTTATTTTTTAGGGTTTTGTACTTCACCTCAGCCTCAAAAGTTTAAAAATGCTCAAATCTTGAAGCTGCAACAGATGATGTAGATGTGCCTGGATTTTTCTTGGATCTGGCCATGGTTTTTATTATGACAGGGATTCTCACGCCAGCAAAATGTGAAAAAGAAAATGGAAGAAAGGTTGAAGAAAAGTTTGAAAGAAAAACAAGGAAACAATGAGGAGAAAAGAGAAATGAGTGGTTTTGAAGAAAAGTGATGGGTAATGGGTGGTTTATGGGGGGTAAAACAGTAAAAATGGAGAGTGAAAAGAGATATGGTATTAATTATGAGATATTTGATTTGACTTAAAGAATGAATAATATAAAGGGAATATATATTTCCATCTTTAAAAGTGCCACTAAAACCAATTAGAATAGGGTTTATCTCCCTCCCATGCATAAGTTTTATCCCTACACTGCCACCTGTACCCTAAATACAAAAAAACAAAAATAAAGAATAAAATAAAAATAAAAAACTCATGCAGAATAAAATGACATAGATTATTTATGTACATAATGCAAATTTTGGTTACCTAGGCAACGAAATTTGTTCAGGAAAGAAGGGCAAACTCTTAGGCATCGTGAGGTAATTATGTCGGTTTATCACGCAGATAGGTGCTCCATTGTATGCCTTCAGTAATTGACCATTAACCTTAAAGGTTGACTCGTCTTCTAAGTTCTTAATGTCTATTTCTCCATTACTATGGACTTTATGTATGATGAACGGTCCTGGCCATCTAGATTTCAGATTGTCTAGGAATAGTTTTAGTCTTGAATTGTAGAGCAATACTTGTTGTCTAGAAAAAATTTTCTTGGCAAAATTTTGTCATTTTTTCATTTTTTTTCTTTATAAAGGCGGTCACATTCTTACGCTTGAGCTCTAAATTCATCCATTTCATTCAGCTCCAACAATCTTTTTTCTCCAGTGAGTTGTGCGTCTATATTGAGTTTCTTGATGGCCCAAAATGCTTTGCATTCTATTTCCACAGGCAAATGGCACGCATTTCCATATACTAGCCTAAATGGTGACATTCCAAGTGGTGTTTTAAATGCTTTTTAGTAGGCCCACAGTGCCTCATCAAGCTTTGGCGACCAATCTTTACATTTGGGGTTGACCACTTTCTCAAGATTTTGTTTAATCTCATGATTAGAAACCTCAGCCTACCCATTAGTATGTGGATGATATGTTGTAGCAATTATGTGATGCACTCTGTATCTTTTCTGCATATTGGCAATTAATTTTTTGTCGAAGTGAGTATCTTCATTGCTGATAATTGCTCGTGGTACTCCAAAACTTGTAAATATATTCTTGTGTAAGAATTTCTATACAGTTTTGGAATCATTACGAGGTGTGGCCACGGCTTCAACCCTTTTGGAAACGTAGTCTACCGCCAAAAGTATGTATAGATCTCCAAATGATGAGGGGAAATATCCCATAAAATCGATCTCTCATACATAAAAAAGCTCAACTTCCAAAATGTTTTGTCATGGCATCTCATTTCTCTTCGATAAACTCCAGTGCACTGGCAACGATCACATGACTTATAGAATTCATGTGCATCCTTGGACAAGGTGGACTAGTAGAAGTTGGATTAAAGGACCTTTGTTGCACTCGTCATCCCACCAAAGTGCCCTCCATACGAGGATGAATGGCAAAGAAATAAAGTCTTCTTATGTTGTTCTTCAGGGATGCAACTGCATATTATTTGGCCGCCACATTGCTTATATAGGAATGGTTCATTCCATTAATAGTGGCGTACATCATGTCTAAATTTTTTTGCTCTGGCTAGATAAATCTTTTCTTTACCCTAGCACTGCCCCTACCGTATAGTCATTTGCATCACACATCAGCTCAAAAGGTGCGTCCCAATCAGGTGGTATAACAATTGGTGTCGATCCGAGATTTTTTTTAGAACATTGAATGTGTTGAGGCATTCCTTGTTGAACATGAATGATTGATTTTATTGAACTATCAAACATAGAGGCTTCAAAATTTTTGAAAAATCATTTATGAACCGCCTGTAGAATCCTGCATGCCCTAGGAAACTTTGTATGCCCTTTACAGTGGTGGGTAGAGGTAAATTATCGATTATATCCACTTTGGCTTTATCTACTTCGATTCTTTGGCGAGAAATTTTGTGTCCCAACACAATTCTTTCAGTCACCATAAAATGACATTTTTCCCAGTTTAGCACAAGGTTAGACTCTTAGCATCGCTTCAGCACTTTAGATAAATTTTTTAGGCATCGATCAAATTCGTCGCCTGAGATGAAGAAGTCATCCATAAATATTTCCATGAAGTCTTCCACCATATTTTATAAAATGGCCATCATACACCTCTGAAAAGTTACCGGAGAATTACATAGTCCGAACGACATTCTTCTAAAGGCATAGGTACCATACGGGTAAGGTGAAAGTGGTCTTCTTCTAATCTTCTCATGTTATGGAGATAAGATTGTATCCAAAATATTCATCTAGGAAACAGTAAAATGCCATACCTGCTAACCTATCAAGCATTATATCAATGAAATGGAGGGAAAATGGTCTTTCTTTGTTGCCTTGATGAGCTTCCTATAATCCATACATATCCACCAACCTGTGATTGTTCTTGTAGTTAAAAGCTCATCATTCTCATTCTTAACCATGGTCACTCCACCCGTATTTGGCACGCATTGCACTAGACTGGCCCATAAACTATCAAATATTGGATAAATCACTCCAGCATCCAACCATTTTATGATTTCCTTCATCACCAATTTTTTCATTATTGGGTAAAGTCTCCTTTGTGGTTCCATAGAATTCCTATGGTTATCTTCTAATTGGATCTTATGCATGCATATTGTTGGGATGATTCCCTTTAAAAACTACCATGGTCCACCCGATAGCTTTTCTGTGCTGTGACAAAACATTCAACAAATTTCTCTCTTGCTCGGGAGATAGATTAGTAGAAATTATAACCGGTAAAGTTTCATCACTACTTAAATAAGCGTATTTCTAATGTGATGGAAATGTTTAAGTTCTAAGGTAGTTGCATGCTGTAGTGAAGGTTTTGGAGGAATAAATTCATTGAAATTAAGGGGTTCGAATCTCATACTAGGTCGAGCTTAAAGTAAACTAGATTATTTTTCTTTCAATGAATTTTCCTTAGACTCTGGACGTGTTCTTCTCTCAGTGTGTCTTTCATCTATTTCAGTTGAGAAACTTTCGCCTAGGTAAAAAAATTTGATTGCTTCGATGAGGAAAATTTTGTTGTGGCAACAAATGTTGAGTTCCTCATATTGTAAAACATCGTCTTGGCAAACAATTTCACATTCCTCCTTCTAGAGAATTTTGTCTTGGCAAAATTTATCATACTCGTTAAGATGTAACAATTTGCCTCGACCATAATTTTTTGTTCAAACTTCCTCCAATGAGTCAACGTCTTCAATATAATGACATTCTTCAGAATTATCAATATATTTAAGAGTGATGAAGACAATGATTGTAACACTTTGATCAACCATCCTTATTGTGAACTCTCCATTCTCACAGCCTATTATAATATGCCATGTAGCTAAGAATGGGCGTCCAAGGATAATAGAGGAATTTTCATCAGCTTCACAGTCTAAAATGCGGAAATCAACTGGAAAGACAAACTTGTCTACTTTAACAATTACATCTTCAATTCTGCCCTCGGGACGAACATGTGATCCATAAGCTAGTTGTAAAATCACAGTGTATATCGAGCATTACCCATTCCAAGTTTCAAAGAGATGAACTTGGGAATCATATTTACGCTTGACCCCAAGTCAAAAAGTGCTCTTCCAGCATATATATCACCGATGGAACATGGTATAACAAAGCCTCCAGGATTTTTTTGCTTTGACGGAAGTTTACTCATTGTCGAACAATATTTTTTTATCGTTGAATCAGTTTCTATTCTTTCCACTTTTCTCTTCTTAGTGACAATGTCTTTTAGAAATTTGGCACAGTAAGGCATCTTCTCAATGACTTCAAGTAACGACACATTGATATGCAACTGATCAAGGACATCAACAAATTTTCTGAACTGATTCTCATCATTATGTCTTCAACCATTAAGGGAAAGATGGTGGAGGTCTAACTTCATCCGCTACAAGTGGGGAAGCAACTTTTTCCTTAGCAAATAATTTTCACCATTAGTGTGCTGACTTGTCAAACCCTCGTTTATTTCCTTCTCCTTAGCTGGTTATACATATTCAGCAATCTCATATTGATTTTCAAGTTCTTCATGTGTGGTGCCTTGTCTAAACTTTTTTGGTCGCTCTCCCCCAAAATTATTTTCAAGATTAATCTGAGTACCACTCCAAAATGTGAGTGCACTGCATTACTCTTTTCCTTGAGAAGTAGTGACCTGAGTGTCACTAGGGAGACTTCCTTGTGGGTGGGAATGTAATGTCATGGCAAATTTTTCCACTTGATTCTCCAATGCCCTCAACGATGAGCTATGGATTTGTAATAGAGCTGCTTGACTTTGCAATAGATTACTTTGATTCTTGATTGTTGATGAGTGTTCTTATATCATGATTTTTGTTGAAGCCATGAAATCTTTTGTTGAGACCATAATTACCATGCCATGGCATCTGTTGATGTTGCAAACTTGAGTGTTCAAAAATATTTTGTTGTGGCTTGTTAAAATTGTCTGAATAATTCCCTTGATTATCCCATGAAAACTTTGGATGTTGTCGCCATCCAAGATTATATGTATTAGAGTAGGGGTTGTTATTGAACACTGTAAAATTTTAAGCATCTTAGTTATAGCATAAAGTTGGGCAGAAATGGAATCCTTATTATCAAGTTCATACGCCCCAGATATTCTTCTACTGGTCTTAAGCCTTGTAGTCGGGTATTGATAGTCATTATTGGATATCCGATCGAGGATATCAAAGGCTTCCTCGGGTGATTTATCGAGCAAATTGCCATTTACCGACGTGTCTAACATCATGCTAGTGGGTGCATTGACTCCATTGTAAAACATCATGACTTGAGTCCAGTCATGGAATCTGTGGTTAGTGCACTTGCGAAGCAAGCTTTTATATATGTCCCAGCACTCGTACATAGATTCCTCATCGCCTTGGCGAAAATTTGAAATGTCATTGCAGAGCTGGGTGTGCATGTTGGGAGGGTTGTAGCGAAGCAAAAAACTTTTGCATAAGTATGCCCAAGATTCCATTAATCTAGAAGGAATCCCACTAAGCCAAGCTCTTGCCCGGTCACATAGAGAATAAGGGAAAAGTTTAAGCTTCAGCACATCGTCATGCACTTCTTGTTGCCTGAACGAATCGCACACTTCAAGGAATGCACGGACATACTGTCTAGCATCCTCATTAGGCAAGCCACCTAATTGACCGATGGAGTTTAGCATGTTGAACATCACCGATTTAAGTTCAAAATGGGTTGTCTGTATTTCAGGTGCCATGATTCCAAGGTTTAGATCTTCAAGAATAGGATTCAAGTGATCTCATATTGCTTGTGGTCTTGCAACCTCTATAGGAAGATTATTTGTCGTGACATCAGGGCCTGCCTGATCTCCCATATTATTATCGACTTGATATTGTAGTTGATTCATATAGTCTCCGGCACGTTGTTTATGTTGCCTTTGTCTGAATGATTGTTCGATCTTAGGGTCAAATGGTTCTAATGGTTCACCAGCAGATCTCAGGGTCATGCAACGAAAAAACCTTCAAAAGAAAATAAGAAAATAAACAAGTTAACCTAAATAAATAAAATGTGACAATAAATATAAAAATTTGCTATGGAAAAAATTATCCAAATTCTGTCAGTTGCCAATCCCCGACAACTTAGCCAAAAACTTGATCGCTTGTGAATGTATATGCTAAGGCAAGAAAATCTGTTCAAGTGTACACAATCAATGCAAGTAATATAATAGTAAGTAGAGTTATCGCCTCCTCAAGGATTTGATGTAAGGCGAATCTACACGCTTTGATTGAAGAGAGTAGATAGCCTTATTATGTCCCGATCTAGGATTGACAAGTACTGATGTCCTTGAATTATAAGCTTGGGCTGCAAATAAGATAAGAAATAAATATGTTTAGTAATGGAAGGATAAATGGAATAATAAGATAAGAAATGAATTTAAAAGAATGGTATAGAGATGGCTATGGAATTGATGGTCTTGTTGGTTGATGTTGATGTTGTTGATGGTGCAATAGAGATGGTGATGTTGTATCTCAAGCACGCCAAAGAGGAAACAATACTAAGAAGCACAATCCCGTTCTTCACAAACTTACTTAAGGGGTGGTGATAGTGTCTTCAACCCACTAGATATCAATCTAGGAATTTTGGAATCAAGATGGAAAGAATGACGCCACAAGTATATGAATTATACTTGCTTAATCGATAAAGTTCACAAAGAACTTTGAAAAGAAATTAACTAACAAGAGTATGTTTTATATAAGAGATGAGATGGGCACAAATGAAGGCAAGCCACTCTATTTATAGGAAATGAGAGGGCTTGGTCGAATGGTTACAAGTTGTTTCGGCTGGATACATGTCTCTAGGAAAATACATAATGCTTGAGATGAATAAATAAGTCCTTTGGGCTTGTGATGGTTTGGCTAACTCTTCATGAAAAGCCTTAATGATTCGGGTAAGGATGGGAAGACATATCCCTTAGCCGAATGGGCATGCTTGTTCATCTTGGCGCCATTTTCTTCCCTTGGCCGAATGGTGGTGTGTCTCTTCATGTTTGGCGCCAAAGGCTCTCATGTGCATGGAATGTGATGTGGCCGAAATAGGCATGGATACTTTAGCTCATATCTCTTGGTGATTTAAGCTTCCAATAGGTGTGATATCTTCATCCACGTGTTCCTTATTGAAAAGGCATCTTCATGGGCAGCATCATTCATGAAAGGTCACAATGTTTGGAAAGGTAACCCTTTATGTTTGAGCTACTTTGGGTGTGAATGAGCTAGTGGTGAGTTGGCCTTAGATGACTTGTAACATGGTGAAAATTTGGGCAGATCCTTGTGAAAAGGTTCCTCTTGAGGTGGAAACTATTCGCGAAAAGGTACGATTTCATAAATTTTGACTTAGGACATATTTGAAGCGTCCTAAGTGGTGGTGGTGATGGTGCAATCCCTAGCTGAAATGAGGTCATCTTGTAGCTCAAATCTTCAATTCAATCCAGCTATGAGCTCACGGCCTCCAGACAACTTTTCACCAATTGTTCCTTGTGCTCTCCTAATCGATCCCATGTAAGTTTCCTTGCTGTTACATGCTCCATTTAGCTCCAATGCAGCTCCCAATTGTTGGTCGAATGTGCCTACATGCATAACATAAGAAAATAAACTAAGTATATAAACTTATATAATATGTATATTATAAAAATGTGACTATAGGTTATTTAATATTCAATTTGTAGCATATTAAACAACCTATTATCTAATGGTTCTTTCTCATTAAAAGATTTAAAAACATTAAGGCACTTATGAGAAAGTACTTCCCTGAATTGTTTTGCCTTTGCACGAGTGATAGGTCCTTTGGGCATAACTTCAGGATCTATTTGTGTAGTTGTGATCACATCATCCTCCCCTTCTTTTGAGCGATTTGCCCTCAAATCGTCATTGTCTTCAAATGGAGAAAGATCTGAAATATTAAAAGTTGCACTTACATTGTATTCACCAGGTAGATCCATTTATCTTCTTGATGATTTTGAATGGTCCATCTCCTCTAGGTAACAATTTGGATTTCCTTTGGGAAGGGAAACGTTCTTTTCTAAAATACACCCACACCCAATCACCTTCCTCTAATTTTAGTGGCTTGCGTCCCTTATTTGCTTGTTGTTCATATTATCTTATTCGTTTTTCTATATTGTCTCGAACTTGCTGATGAAGTTTCTTAACGAACTCAGCCTTGCTCTTGCCATCTTCGTTGATCATGTGTTCCTGAGGTAAAGGAAGAAGTTCTAAAGGTGTTAAGGGGTTAAATCCATATACTACCTCAAATGGTGACATCTTGGTTGTTGAATGGACTGCCCGATTATATGCAAATTCAACATGTGGTAAGCATTCCTCCCAAGATTTGATGTTCTTTTTGATGATATATCTCAACAATGTTGATAGTACTCGATTCACCACTTTAGTTTGCCCATCTGTTTGAGGGTGACATGTTATGGAGAATAGCAACTTTGTCCTAATCTTACTCCATAACGTCCTCTAGAAATGGCTAAGAAATTTGACATCTCTATCGGAAACTATAGTTCTTGGAACGCCATGTAATCTCACAATTTCTTTAAAGAACAAGTTGGCCACATGTGTTGCATCGTCTGTCTTGTGGCATGGTATGAAATGTGTCATCTTGGAAAAATGATCTACAACAAAAAATATTGAATCTCGTCCATTCTTGGTCCTTGGTAGTCCCATCACAAAGTCCATTGATATGTCAACCCATGGTGCTTGAGGAATAGGTAAAGGCATGTAAAGTCCATGAGACATAACCTTTGATTTTGCCCTTTTGCAAGTGACACATCATTCACATACCCTTTCAACGTCTCTCTTCATCTTAGGCCAATAGAGGTGTTGCTTCAAAATCTCCAATGTTTTGCTTACTCCAAAATGACCCATGAGACCTCCTTCATGTGCTTCTCGAACAAGCACTTCTCGAAAGGATCCTTGAGGAATGCATAGGCGTCCTTGTTTGAATAGATATCCTTCGTGCCTATAAAACTTTTCATATGCACCTTTCTCACAAGCCTTATACTTCTCTTCAAAGTCATGGTCAGTAGCATAACAATCTTTAATATATGAAAACCCAATTAACTTTGAATCAAGAGCATTAAGGAGAACATACCTTCGAGAGAGAGCATCAGCTACAATGTTTTCTTTACCTTTCTTGTAATGAATGACGTAAGGGAATGACTCCAAAAACTCCACCCATTTGGCATGTCGCTTGTTTAACTTATGTTGGCCTTTGATATGTTTTAAAGCTTCATGGTCGGTGTGTATGACAAATTCTTTTGGTAGAAGATAATGCTGCCAAACTTCAAGTCCCCTTATGAGACAATACATCTCTTTGTCATAAGTTGGATAGTTTAACAAAGCACCATTCAACTTTTCACTAAAATATGCAATGGGTCATCCTTCTTGAGTCAAAACAACCCCAATTCCGATTCCAGAAACATCACATTCCACTTCAAAAGTCTTATCAAAGTTAGGTAATGCAAGTAAAGGTGCCTTGGTTAAACATTCCTTCATTTTGTTAAAGGCATCTTCTTGTTCTTTGCCCCATGAAAAGATAGAATTCTTTTTAATGATCCCTGTTAAGGGGGCGGCAATAGAACTAAAATTAGGCATAAACCTTCTATAAAAACTTACAAGACCATGAAAACTTCGGACTTGACTGATTGAAGTAGGCGTAGGCCACTCTTTAATGGCTTTGATCTTTCAGGATCAACTTCATGTCCATGTGAACTTACAATAAAGCCTAAGAAGGTTAAACTGTTAGTGCAAAAGACACATTTCTTCATATTTGCATAAAGCTTTTCCTTTTGAAGGGTTTCAAGAACATACCTCAAATGTTGCATATGTGATTCCAAGTCATGACTATAAATCAGAATATCATCAAAATAAACCACACAAAACTTACCAATGAATGGTCTGAGTACATGATTCATTAACCTCATGAAGGTGCTTGGAGCGTTTGTTAATCCGAAAGGCATCACCATACATTCATATAATCCTTGCTTTGTTTTGAATGCGGTTTTCCACTCGTCTCCTTCTCGCATTCTGATTTGATGATATCCACTCTTTAAATCAATTTTAGAGAACATAGTGGCTACACTCAATTTATTCAACATATCATCAAGTCTTGGTATAGGATGTCGGTATTTGATGGTAATTTGATTGATAGCACGACAGTCTACACACATTCTCCATGAACCATCCTTATTGGGCACAAGTAACATCAGAACAGCACATAGACTCAAACTTTCTCGTATGTATCCTTTGTCAATTAATTCTTCAACTTTTTTTTGAAGCTCCTTAGTTTCTTCAGGGTTACTTCTATATGCTAGACGGTTTGGAATGGATGCACCCGATATGAAGTCAATTTGATGTTCAATCCCTCTAATAGGTGGCAATCCACTAGGAATATCTTCTGGGAATAACTCTTCAAATTCCTGCAATAAAGATGAAATAGAATAAGGCAAGCCTTCTGGAATGTTAGTCAAAATTAAGCTTTCCTTGTACCTAAGTACAATTAGAGCTTTGTAGGATAACAAATGTTTCCTAATGTCTTTTCCTCCAGCATATATGTTCATCTTCGTTGGTTCCTCCTCCTTTATAAATTTGAAAACTTCAATGCTTTTCTTCAAAGCATCTTGATCTTCAGACACTTGATTTGGTGAAAGAGGAGTAAATATGAATTTCTTTTCATTGTGATAGAAAGAGTACCGGTTTGTGAAACCATCATGAATAGCCTTCTTATCAAATTGCCAAGGCCTCCCTAGAAGTATATGGCACACATTCATTGGAATGACATCACAAAGGACTTGATCTTGGTATTTCCCAATTGAAAAGGAAATGTTGACTTGTTTGGTGACTTTAACTTCTCCTCCATCATTTAGCCATTGTAGCTTGTATGGTGTAGGATGTTTAAGTGTCTTGAGTCTGAGTTTAGCCACCATTAAAGTGCTTGCAACATTGGTACAACTTCCTCCATCAATAATCATGAAACAAACTTTGTTGTTTACGTGACATCTAGTGTGAAAAATGTTCTCTCTTTGATTATTCTCCATGGACTGAATATTCAAGGCTCTTTTCACTACAAAAACTTGTCCTGAAACTTGAGACATTGTTAGTAGATAATAAAACAATATAAACCTTACCAGCACACTCATAAAGTCTCACAAATTCACTCCAAAGAAATGATAGGATCACTCCACTCAACACTCGTGTTTACTCTCGGGAATATATATATATATTTGGCTTTTAACAATTCCCCTTCTGATCTCACTCTCTTAATAGCCTTTTTCCACTCAATTTCTCTTGCTAAGTCCTTTGAAGAACTTACTCAAGATTAAAGCAAGTTAACTCTTTCCTTATGTGCGTCGGCTGCAAATAGGTTAGGGTTGAAAAGAAAAGAAGAAATGGAAAGATATAAGAAAGGATTTAAAGGTATTAAAAGATAAAATGGTTGAAGACAAGGAAAATGAACGTATAGAAAAGAAAGAGGTGACTTACAATTCAAGAAACAACACTTACTGCAACCTTTCTCAAGAAACAATAAGGTTATCTTCTCTTAGTGTAGATGGCCTCTTTGATGTACTTGCAATGGTAGAACAAACTTTCTTTGGCTTTGCTTCTTATTGAAATTCTTATTTTTCTTTTCTTCTATTCTGATTTTTTTTTGTCTTTTCTTTCTTTTTGCACTCCAATTTTGTTGAAGGAGTCTTTTTTTTTGCTTTTGAACTTCTTTTTGCTTTGCACGCCAATGACACTTTTGTTGTCAATCCAACTATGCTCTGATTACCACTTGATGTAAGACGAATCTACACGCTTTGATGGAAGAGAGTAGATAGCCTTATTGTGTCCTGATCTAGGATTGACAAGTACTGATGTCCTTGATTATAAGCTTGGGTTGCAAATAAGATAAGAAATAAATATGTTTAGTAATGGAAGGATAAATGGAATAATAAGATAAGAAATGAATTTAAAAGAATGGTATAGAGATGGCTGCGAAATTGATGGTCTTGTTGGTTGATGTTGATGGTGTTGATGGTGCAATGGAGATGGTGATGTTGTATCTCAAGCACGCCAAAGAGGAAACAATGCTAAGAAGCACAATCCTGTTCTTCACAAACTTGCTTGAGGGGTGGTGATAGTTTCTTCAACCCACTAGATATCAATCTAGGAATTTTGGAATCAAGATGAAAAGAATGACGCCACAAGTATATCAATTATACTTGCCTAATCGATAAAGTTCACAAAGAACTTTGAAGAGAAATTAACTCACAAGAGTATGTTTTATATAAGAGATGAGATGGGTACAAATGAGGGCAAGCCACTCTATTTATAGAAAATGAGAGGGCTTGGCTGAATGGTTACAAGTTGTTTCGGCTAGATACATGTCTCTAGGAAAATACATAATGCTTGAGATGAATAAATAATTCCTTTGGGCTTGTGATGGTTCGTCTAACTCTTCATGAAAAGCCTTAATGATTCGGATAAGGATGGGAAGACATCTCCCTTGGCCGAATGGGCATGCTTGTTCATCTTGGCGCCATTTTCTTCCCTTGGCCGAATGGTGGTGTGTCTCTTCATGTTTGGCGCCAAAGGCTCTCATGTGCATGGCATGTGATGTGGCCGAAATAGGCATGGATCCTTTAGCTCATATCTCTTGGTGATTTAAGCTTTCAATAGGTGTGATCTCTTCATCCACGTGTTCCTTATTGAAAAGGCATCTTCATGGGCAGCATCATTCATGAAAGGTCACAATGTTTGGAAAGGTAACCCTTCATGTTTGAGCTACTTTGGGTGTGAATGAGCTGGTGGTGAGTTGGCCTTAGATGACTTGTAACATGGTGAACGTTTGGGCAGATCCTTGTGAAAAGGTTCCTCTTGAGGTGGCAACTATTCGCGAAGAGGTACGATTTCACAAATTTTGACTTAGGACATATTTGAAGCGTCCTAAGTGGTGATGATGATGGTGCAATTCCCCAGCTGAAATGAGGTCATCTTGTAGCTCAAAACTTCAGTTCAATCCAGCTATGAGCTCACGGCCTCCAGAAAACTTTTCACCAATTGTTCCTTGTGCTCTCCTAATCGATCCCATGTAAGTTTCCTTGCTGTTACATGCTCCATTTAGCTCCAATGCAGCTCCCAAGTTTTGGCCGAATGTGCCTACATGCATAACATAAGAAAATAAACTAAGTATATAAACTTATATAATATGTATATTATAAAAATGTGACTATAGGTTATTTAATATTCAATATGTATCATATTAAACAACCTCTTATCTAATTGTTCTTTCTCATTAAAAGATTTAAAAACATTAAGGCACTTATGAGAAAGTACTTTCCTGAATTATTTTGTCTTTGCACAAGTGATAGGTCCTTTGGGCATAACTTCAGGATCCATTTGTGTAGTTGTGATCACATCAGGATTAGTGAGAATTATTGATATTTTACTATAGCTATAACTACGTATGACGAACTAGCCCTGAAATTCTTATCGAAACAAAAACAAGTAATTCTAAAGGAAATAAACGAATGGGAAAGTATTGTCTAGGCAAGACATATTGTAAAGTATGGTGTGCAGAAAAGTGTAGTCGAGCAAGGAAAAATTTCAAAAGTAAACGAATCAAAATTATTAAAGCAAGTAAAAGTGTTGGGTTCAATATATTCAAAGAAACCTGTTGAGTTAATCGATTGACGGAAACGGCCAAGAGGGGGAGAATTGGCAATTAAAAATTTGGTGGAAGCTTTTGCACAAAATTGAAAGTAATTGCATAGCGATTTAGAGTGGTTCGACTTTCTCAACCAAAGTCTACGTCCACTACCTTAGCTATCCACACTAATGATTTTCCACAAATTCACTAATCTGTCTTTCTTTTGTGGACAAAGAGTAACCTTACAAATCCTCAAGAATTATACCCCAAATTATTGAGAACACTCTCTCCCAAAGAGAACAATACAAATTCGCAAACTTACCAGGAAATCCTCACAAGGTAGATTGTTTGCACAATTTTAGAACAAAGAAAAGAACACTCAAGAAAGAATACAATTGAGTACAAGTAGTGGTCTTGAAAAAAAATGAATATTGAATGAAAAATAGGCTTGAAATGCTCAAACTTGAGGTTTGATGCTTTCTCTTTAATTCTCTCTTGATTCTAGTTGCTTGTTGTTTCTTGTTTTGATCAATGGCTTCTAAGCTTGTTTAAATACACCCTGAATCACTTCTGAACGTTGGGGATGATTAGTGGAGTCAATAGAGCCGTTATTGTGTGAAAACAATTAATAAAATTGGTTGGGAGCGTCGGTGCATCGATGCATGACCATAGTGCATCAGTGTAAAAGTCAAATATTTTTACCGTTGGAACACTTAGTGCATCGGTGCACCAAGTGTGTATCGATGCATAAAATGCATTCGATGTTTGAAAATAGCCTGAGTGCATCGGTGCATTGCTTGTGTAATAATTTGATATCTGATTAATTAATTCGAATATACCTTAGAAAATCATTTGTAAAATCTTAAAATTCATTTAACTTAATTTGTTATATCAAAATATCAAAATGTTTTCAACAATCTCCCCCTTTTTGATATAACAAAACACTTGAGTAATTTTAATATTTTCTTTGAAAAACTATTTTGAAAATCAAGTTTGAAATTACTCCCCCTTACTATAACATTTTACACTTCTCCCCCTTTTTGTTAAATCAAAAAGACTCTAAAATAACTTGACACAAGGTTTTGAAAAACTTAGCCAATTTATATTTAGAAACTTAAAGATTAAGCTGCTAAGATCAAAAGAGAGATTAGCCATTAGTTTCATAATCAATATTCATAATAAAATGTGAAATTGCATAATTGGTCATAATGCAACTAATATGTAAATGATGCAAGAATTAAACCAAACCAAATATTTATAATAAGTTCAAACAACCAATCATTCAACTCCAAAAATAGCAAAATGTTTTATCAATCCAAGTTTTAAGTTTAATACCAAATACAATCAAACTAAAATAAGTCTAATCATCCATAGAAGGATCGGGAGGCGGAGGAGGAAATCGGGCTTGTATCTTAAGAGAGAGAGCATCCATGTGTGCAAGCAGCTCCCTTTAAAACTCCATCTGACGAGTTTCCAAAGTGTCTAAGCGTTGATTTACTGCTTCGTGAGTAGCAGTCAAGTAGGATTCGATGGAATCATACCGTAAATCAAATGTCTCCAAAAACAAACGAAAAATTGGAGGCATTTGATCTTCTTGTGGAGCTGGTTCCGGTGCAGGCTCGTCATCGGGTACGTGATCATCGATGTCTTGCATAAGCTGTTGAAATTCAGGATCATCGTCAGAAGCCGGAGCCGGAGGAGGAGGAGCACGAGAGGAGCTAGGAGCAGCTCGTGAGGAACTAGCTCCCGGAGTTTGCTTTTTGGGTCTAATAACCCATTGACCGGTTACCTCATCTTGTTTCCAATCTGCTTTCTTCAAGGATGTGAGATTGATTGGGTTTGGAAGAGGAATAGGATTGTCAAGAGAGACATCCAAACCGAGTTTGATAAAGAGATTGCTAAGAAGACAACCATAAACTAATATTTCAACATGTTTGGATGGGATAATATTTACGGTATCGACTAGAACACTAAAGATAATCTGTGGAAGATTTATTTTGATCTTATTCTTAATACAATACATCCACCATAAATCCCTAGCACGAAGAGTGGAGTACCTACCCGCTGATGGTCGAAACCACCATGAGATCATTAAATGAAGAAAACGATCGTGATGAGATCGAAGGGTACTAACACTAGCGTTTGGGAGATATGGATAATCCACAGTTTCTTTTTCATCATAGACACCATCATCTTCTAACCCAAATTTTGAAGCTATAGTTGCGGAATCAATAAGAATATATTGTCCTAAAAGGTAGGATCTAATTTCTATAGTTCCACATTGAGTTTCGTTTTGAATAAAGACCGCATTAGAATAGAAAATGCGGACTAATTGATGAAAGAGGACAGGTCTAAGAGAGAATAGTTTATCAAACTTCCATGTTCTAAGAATCGGGAGGTATTCAAATTTAAAGTCTATCATGGCTTGTAGAGATGGAATACGTTCTTCCCTAATTCTATAAGATTGGAAAGAATCCATGTACCTATGGTACAATTCTTCTCTCCGAAGTTCAAGCATATTAAAGCAAGATCCTAATAGGCTATTAGGAGGTTGAGGAATGGGATTAGAAGGTTGGTTTGAACGAGAATGACTTGACGAAGTTCTAGGGCGTTT